TTCATAAATTATGTCACAATAACATTGCTCTTGATTGTTTCTTATTAAATGGAGACACCACGTTACAATGATGACCTTATATTAATATTTATTTGTGTTAATAGACCTCAAACACATAAAAAAATCATGTTTTTTTTTGTCATTTTTTACCTTGTTTGGGGGAAAATATTAGTCGAGTGCTGAAAATCAAAAGGAACTATTTCATTTGCAGCACATAAAGGTCAATTGTTTTCATTTGGTGCAGTCACCATGGCCGTTATGAGACCACCTGTGCTCGTTCCTGCAATCACATCAAAATAATCTGTGAGCCTCAAGTCTGGACCATCTAGCTCCTACATTTCGATAACATAGATGTCAAGCTCATGAAAAACCTAGTGATTAAGCCATGCATGTTGGACATAAACTTGTTTAGTGTTATATTATTAAAGTGTGTTAATTTGGTGTGCAGTAATGGGCAAGAAATATACAAGTAATCAAAGATAAGAGTATTAGTGGGTGTTAATTTCCTAAGTAATGGTATTTTAATATTATAGAGGTTACAAGAATTAGTTGGTGTAATGGTACCTACATATAATGGTATGAGTTGTATGTATAACCTATATAAATAGGGTATATAGTCTAGTATTTTTTTTTTGGAAGGTAAAATGTATTAAAATAAAACATGTATACACGGGTAATCACCTACAAATTGTACAATGAAGTCACGTAGGACTCAGAGACAAACATAAAAAAAAACCTAAAAAGCCAAGGCTCAAAACACAAGTCTGTAAGAGATGTCCAGAGTAAGAGCATCTCCCACAGACTTGTAGACATAATATATTGGAAGACAAAAACAGAGAATGAATCCAATAATTCAGCCCCATAACACCACTAATAAGCCACATCACAGATACTGCAACCATATGGCCAGCCCAGGAAAAGGCAAAACAGCCCATCACAGTCACCTAATCAACCAACAGGACATCACATATAAATGAACCCAATATTCAGCCCCTTAACACCACTGATAAGCCACATCACAGATACCTACAACCATATGACCAGCCGAGGACAAGGCAAAACAGCCCGTCACATTCACCTGCACCCAAGACGGCCAACAAGAACCAATAATCAACCAGCAAGACAACACTCATAAACAACAACCAATAATCAGTCAGCAGAACATCACATATAAACAAAACCAATATTCAGCCCCTTAACACAGCACCTGCACAACACAAGACAAAAAAAAAAAAACTACCCAACATAAGACCCATGAAAGCCAACACAAAACAAGGCAAAGCAGCCTAGCACTGCATAACAGAAACAAACACAGCCCAACATAGCACAACAAAACCAAACATCATGTAGACAATCCAGCACAAAACCATCACAAGGCAATAGCAGAGCACGAAACATACTCAAACAAGAACAAAGGAGGGTTCCATTGATGCACTAAGCGCAGGTTTTGAGGAGTAGCCTTGAATTTAAGAAGGGAAAGTCTTTCTCTGATAGTTGACTGAATCCTATTGTTCCTCTCCCTCCATACGTTGTAAACAGTGACAGAGAGGCAGAGCTTGAGGAGAACAACCATCAAAGATTTTCCTTTCCAATTAACACTTGCCCAAGCAATGAAGACATTCCATTAGAGAACTTGAGAAAGCTAGAAACATTGCTGCAACAGCTGAGTCCAAATACCAAAAGCATAAGAGCACTCAAAGAACAAATGATGATGAGATTATGGGAGTTGCTGACACAAAGTGCAAGTGTTGTCTACCTGTGGTGCATAAGATGAGATCCTATCCTTTTTATTTAATCTATTTCTAATAGCCAACCAAAGAATGAGACTCATTCTAGGTATAAGATGACCATACCATACTAGGTTGTACCAAGGCACTTTAGGGCTTTGGGTCCTAATGATGTTCCATGCAGATTTAGTGGTGAACCTGCCATTTGGCTTAGGGGTCCATTTGATAAAGTCTTCCTTTGTAGAATCTGGTGAGTAATTGGGCATAGAGCGACTAAGATCATCCAAGACCCTAGATCTACCCATAGGCCATGCCCAATGATTGTTGTCTATGATCATAGACACTTTGGCATCCTTAGGAAGTCTTGATGTGTTAAAGATGTGTTGGTTCCATGCGCCCAATAAAGGTCCACTCAGGTGCCAATTGTCAAACCATAGGGAAGTATTAGAACCATTCCCTATAATATGCACCAAGTGAGGTTTGATGATGTCCCTGAGCTTTAGCATTTGGATCCAATTCCAGGAGCTAGATTGTGATGGTTTTGCCTCCCAAAGACTTTTACCATGTAAGTGATAGGAATGAATCCACATACACCAGATATTTTGTTTATCCGTAAAAAGTTGCCATAAATACTTGAGCATTAAAACATCATTAAACTGCCTCAGATTCTTTATACCTAAACCACCCTCTTCTTTAGGCTTACATAGATCACTCCAAGCAACCTTAGCACCAGAGTTGATGAGCTCGGTACACTTCTACATAAACCTTCTTAAAAGTTGTTCAACCCTGTCAAGAAGTTGTTGGGGAAGCTTCAGGTGAGATGCCCAGTGGAGCTGTAAACTAAACAACACATAGTGAATCAGATGGAGCCTTCCTGTGTAAGACAAGCTTCGATTGGTCTAGTTACTGATCCTAGCTTCCGTTCTCTCAAGAAGAGAATGACAATGGGCAACTTTAAGTCTAGAAGAAATAAGAGGAAGACCCAAATATTTGATAGGCAATTCCCCCTTCTCAAACCAAAAAATAGTCTTTATAGAGACCCTCACCTCATTGGTGACAGAAGACAAAAAAATATTACTCTTTCTAGGGTTAGCTTGAAGACCAGACATTTGTTGAAACAAGTCCAAGCCTTCCTTAAGTAAGCTAGCAGACCTAAAATCCCCAAAACAAAAAAGGAAGAGGTCGTCAGCAAAAACAAGCTATGTTAGTTTAATCTTTTTGCATCTCCAGTGGAATTTAAAACCCTAACATGAAGAGATGAGGTGATGGTTGATGAGAGTGAGAACTTCCATGGCCATAAAAAAGAGATGAGGGGAGAGAGGGTCTCCCTGTCTAATGCCTCTGGAACTGGAGAAGAAACCAACTAGTTCGCCATTAAGATTAGTAGAGAATTTGGGAGTAGAGATGCATGCTTTAATCCAGGTTCTAAGAATTGGGGGGAAATTGAAGGCCTCCAAAATATCAAGTAAGCAATCCCAGTTTAAAGTGTTATAAGCCTTCATGAGGTCAACCTTAACAGCACATCTGGGAGTCCCATTATTCTTATGGTAGTCCCTCAAAATTTCTTGTGTGAGAAGGATATTATCACCAATTCTACTCCCAGGTATAAAGGCAGCTTAGTTGTTACCAATGATATTCTATAAGACCATCTTGATCCTATTTGCAATGATCTTAACAATAGCCTTATAAAGAACGTTATAGTATGAGATGGGTCTGAAATTCCCCACAGATAAGGGATTAGGGACCTTAGGGACAAGAGCAATAATTGTTGTGTTGAATTCCTTGAGGAGCTTGCCAGCGGAGAAGAATTCCATAACAGCCCTTGTGATGTCTTGACCTATGACAGGCCAAGCTTTCTTGTAAAAACACCCATTGAAGCCATCGGGACCTGGAACTCTGTTATCATTGAAAGAGAAGAACACATCTTTAACTTCAATAGGAGTGATATCTCTCGACATAAAAAGATCTTGCTCGGTTGAAATCTTGTTATGAATAACCCTGCTCAACAAGACCTTCCTGTCAAAAGAATCCATAGTTGGGAAAGAACCCCCAAGAAGTTGGGTGTAGTAATCAACCACTTCTTTCTTTACCTTAGAATCATTACAAGCAAGAGACCCATCTGCTCTTCTTAGAGACATGATCTTTTTCCTCTTTCTTCTATTGGTAAGTGACCTGAAAAAGTAGGCAGTGTTATTATCTCCCTCCTGTAACCACTTGACCCTAGATTTTTGTCTATAGAAGCTTTCCTCTTCTCTGGCAACTTTAGTGAACTTGAGCATATGGACTTCCTCCTGCTTTTTAAGTGTAGTGTTGAGAGGGTCAAGAACAAGCTGATTTTGATAATTAACAAGTTCCTCTCTAGCCACGTTAGTTCTCATAGACACATCCCTGGACTCCTTCCCCAATAACTTTGAGTAACTTTGAGCATCTTAAGTTTGGTGCATACTTGGTGTTGTAGAGTACCATGGACCTCCTCCCTCCAAACTTGTGCAATAATGTGAAGAAAATTCTCCCTTTCAGCCCAAAAATTGAAGAATTTGAATGGGTATCTACCTTTCACTTTCTGGGAGCCAATCCTCACTAAAATTGGGCTGTGATCAGAAATTCCAGGAGGCAAAAACATAGCTTTTGAAACTTGAAATTTTTGGAGTCAATATTCATTGACAAGAGCCCTATCCAGTTTCCTCCAAACAATGCCACAATCATGTCTATTGTTGCACCAGGTGAGAAAATGTCTGGAATATCTTATATCTTCAAGAGTAGCACTTTGCAAATATTCATCAAAATCCTCTATGGCAATTATTCTTCTCCCATAACACCCCACAGATTCATGAACTCCTCTAACAACATTAAAGTCTCCCACCACAAGCCAAGGAATAGGTGCAATAGTGAGAGCAAAATACTTGAGGTCACCCAAAGTCTCTTTCTTTCCTGGTCATCATTAGTCCCATACACAAAAGCCACAGAGCAATCAAAAATACCATCAATGGATTGTACATTGCATAAAATAAGCTAATCAGTTTCGGTAAATTTTATTCACCTTCAAAACATTTGGGTTCCACCCAACCCCAATTCTACCAAAAGGGTGACTACGATAGTTGGAGACTAAATTCCACTGCCCAAAAACTTTTCTCAAAACAAAGTCCTTATTTACAGGTTTCATTTTTGTTTCCACAATGCTAATCATATCAAGCTGTTGATTGACAATGATTTTTCTTACTTCTTGTTGTTTGATGGGGTTATTCAAGCCTCTAATGTTCCAACAAGCGATGTTCAACATGGAGATTTAGAGACAGAGGGGCAAAGAGGGATCTCCATAATTCCATCCTTAGTTTTTTTGTTCTTAATTTTCTTCTTCTTTGTTTTCCCAATTAGCTTTCTAGGGGATTTGGGTATCTCATAGGACCCCTCCGGCTTTTCAACAACTTTAGGGGAGAGATCCACCACAAGTTGACCTCCTTCAAGATCTAGACAACCAAATTTGTTTAGGGAGATGGGGGCAGGGCACGCATCAGGAGAATTATCAATAACAGAGATAGATGTCACCACATTCTCCTTTAGAGGAGGGACCTTTGAATACATAAGGTCCACAAAGCTAGACCGTGGAATATTAATAGAATAGTCTACCTAAGGCTCGCTCACAGTCATAAGCGGATCAACAATTACTGTGGAAGTAATGGCTTTCCCTTTGTTTATGAAATCTGTGTGTTGTTTCTCACTACATGACTTTGTTTGTCTAGGACAGGATGAAGTGTTATGTCCAAAGGTCTTACATCGAAGGCATTGCTTAGGCTTCCATTGGTACTCAACTTTGATCTCAAGTAATTCGCTCGAGTCCCCAGAGCCCACATCCAATCAAAAGAATTGACTAGTAGCTCATCTGCATGAACCTCCACACAAACACGTGCGAAACTAATCCTCTTTTTCGTGGAGGTAAGGGTGTCAGCATATAATGGTTTACCCATAGCACAAACCCAGTGGCTAATTCCTTCCTCACTCCAAAATTGAAGGGGAACATTATGAAGTTTGACCCAAACAAGCATAACATAATGGTCCTCCTTAGCCATCCTGAAGCTAGGAAACCATTTCTTATGGATCAAAGGTCTCCTAGAGAAGAGCCATGGCCCAACTTCCACCACTTTTACTCTTGCCTCCTCATCCATGAATTTGAATAAGAAAAACCCATTATCATTAGCATAAACCTCTAACAAGCCCAGCTTATCCCACATCTTATGAGCTGGAAAACTTACAATAGAAAAAGGCAGTTCTTCTCGAAGAAATAACCCACCAAGCAAGTTTGCCAATCCTTGCTACCTTGAGTTTGCTACCTTGAGTAGCAACTTCCTGGGGCGGGTTGCACAATAATCCTAGAATCACGTTTGATAGGCTCAATATATCTGAGCTTCATTTGTTCTGCTAGGTTAGAGCATTTGCCAACACTTCCAGAGTTCAAAATTTGGTTCCAAGGTGTACGGTAGGCTCCACCTACAGTTCCACAAGACGGACCGTTGCACCCCTTCTCCAAGTTGGCTTTGGTAGGTCCCTTAGTTGTGGTAGATGTAGTGACTGGTTCCTGCTATGGATTTGGGGTAGCTTCCATCAAATTGCAACTGTCGGCAGAGAACTTGCCTCCCTACTGTGGTTCAGATCCCTTAGTGTAAGGGCCATTAGAACGGTCACCCATGAGTAGATGAGGAACAAAACAAGGATGTAAGGTGGGAAGGAAGGGATGGAGTGAAGAACCGAAGAGAGAAAAGCAAATTGAAGCCGAGAACTATTCGAAATTGGGGAATTTAGGGCAGAAACAGAGCAAGCGAACCAGGGCAAATACAGGGCTGTGGAAGAAGAAGGAAGAAAATCTAGAGAAGAGGGCTGGGTAGGAATGAGATGGAGAAGAATGGGTTGGTTGAGGTCCAGAACCTAGGGTTTTAAGAGGGATGGGAACGAAGGTCTCTCATATCAGGATTCAAAGATCTTGATCCTGCTCTAGCGTTAAAAGTAAGTAGAGTTGAGTAGAAATTGAAGAGTTCAAGTTGATTGTCTAATTGTAATCAACTTGTGTGAAAATTATTTTTTCTTTTGAGTGTTCATATCCTCACCTACTTCCTTCCATTTTATTTCTAGTCCTCTTAACTCCAACAAGGTGGTATCAGAGCGATTTCTTGTTATAGTAATATTGGGGTAATTGAAAAGAGAATCGTATACAAAGCATGTCACATGTATACTTGACAACAGTCAAGAAAAGAAAAGGGACAAAAGGGATGGCGGCTCTTCTTAACAGAACAGAGGAAGAGATGCCATCCCAAGAAAAGCCATGCATGTTGATTCGTAATAAATACATACAAAGTTGCTATTGATCATACAATTAGTTCTAATGAAATTGAAATAATACCTGAAATTGTGATTCTGAGTATGAGAGGATAACTCCAGGGATGATCCCTCTAACTCCTCCTCAATCAATACTGAGAATTGTAATAAGATTCCCATAAGTTGGAGGCCGAATCTTCTACATACTTCTTGTTTCCTCCTCCATCAATGCCTTTACTAATGGAAAAGAAAAAGAAAAAAAAATAGACTATCGATATTCGATAAGAATGAAACGTTTCAGAAAGAGCTGAAGGATAATCAAAAAGAAGAAGTATATAAACAACGAAGAAACCATGTTTAACTCTTGATTTGTTGGTCAACTACTTTGCTTGCTTCTTCAAATCTATTGAATGCAAGAAATGAGTTTGCTTTGGAAACGGTGGCTTTGGTTTGAAGATATCACATGCAGCTCACGTGAAAGTCCATAATTATTAGTCACCACTAAAGATATATAATTAGCGGTGAAAAAGTATTGTTGTGACTGAAGATATGTTAGTGAATCTAAATAGAGACAATTTAAATGTTGCAATAAAAACATATAATTAATTCATCACTTATTCCAAATATTTAATGATAATAATTTAAATTTAGTTACTGATAATATAAAATTTTAGTGATAAAATTTTTTTGTTGCTGCAAATATGCCCTGTTTAAGCTGCGATTTTTTTTTTTTTGCCACTAAATGTCAATTTTAGTATACTATAATAATTTTGGGCGTTTAATAGAACAACACCGCCTCTTACTGGGCAAAAATTTATGAATTACGAGTGTTTATATATAACTTAACAAATTTAACGAACACAACATTGTTTCACATTCACTCCCACCATGTCACTTCTTCGCACATTAAATCTTTCCCCTAAAATTACTCGTACTCTCTCTCTCAATCGATCTCGATCTCTCAACTCCTTCGCCGTCACGATTCCCATTGGTTTGAAGGCTCCCTCGAAGACACCTCCATCGCCTTGATTGTTTGAGAAGACTGAGCTCATTTCGAAAATCGCCGAGAAGAAGATTAAGGTGCCATCATCGTTCTCACTACTTAGGTTAGTTTATTTTTGTTCCATTTTGTCAAATAGAGTATTCTTGCTATGTTTTGATTGGATTTCGTCTTTTGGATATCCTATATGTTTGCTTTAATTAATCTCAGTTGGATTTACTCATGTTTGGATCTATTGAAGTTCCTATTATTCAGTGCATAAAGGGAAATTTTCTAGAACTGTGAGGTAAATTTTCTAGAATTTACATAATACTCATTTATTTGATTGATAAAGCCCGTCCACTTCGTTAATTTTAGTGAAGATCTTGTTTGATTCGTCGAATTTTGTTAATTTTGGGGTTTTAGTTTGACCTAGGGTTTGTGATTTGGACATCTTTCTTGTATGGGCAATGAAGGCTTTGATCTACTGGATTGGTTTTTGTTTAATAAGGATGATGACTGTCTCATATCTATTATTTTATTATGAATTTTCAAGTTTTCAGTGAATTGAGAATCTTTTTATCCACAAGATTCCCAATCTCACATAGTTATTTTGTTGCTACAAAGTTATTTGATTGAGGTCAACAATTTTTTTTTTGTAATAAACGGAAAAGTGTGGGTGTATATTTTGTTTGTCAGATGAATGCCTAGTTTTATTGACAAACATCAGAGGAAGAATGTTATTATGTTGAAACTCATAAGCACTAGCTTTTGGTTCCATACATGGAGCTCTGCATTCTTGTATACAAACTAGTCATTCAGATGATTGAAATAGGTACCGACTCGATATTTTTCTTGAAGTTTCCTTAGGCAGAATCAATGTTTTTTTTTTTTGGGTAAGTGGGCAGAATCAATGTTACTTGCACCTTATCAGAGCCCATGAACAGTCACGTGAACAGTGTCCATGGGCTCTAATACACCTTCATGGTGCATTTCCTTTATCTAGTCACCATTATAACTATCTTCTCTTTTTATTTTAAATCCGGTACTTCGATCTCATACGCTCATGTTCTAGTGTGCCTAATCCCTACAATTGAATTCTTGTGGAAATTTTTGTATGGTCATTAACAACAATATGTTTGGCCTAATGAACTTAACGTTACTGTTCTGAAAATCATACATGTCTTTTGGTAAGCATTTGTGTTTGCAGTAGATAATTTCATTCATATATACTAGCTTAATGTCTAATTCTTATTGTTTTTGTATATTTTCATTTTCGTCATGAAAGAATTCTAAGGGATTTATGAGTCGGAAAGGTGGAAACATGGCAACAGGCTTTTGGGATTGGAAAGGCTATGGAATCTTCCAGTTCATCCAGGTGAACTTTTCCTTCCTCTTTCAATGTAACTCTTCATGTATATTTTAGATATGTTCTTCAGCCCCTGTACGTACCACCCTTGATTTGCCATTTATATGCATTTCTTGTGTGATAAAGCTCTGTTATGAAGTTATAGAAAAAGGAGTAATACTATGCTTACCAAAAATTTTATCAAAAAGTGTTTTTATCAAATGCGTTGACAGCTCTACATTCAATCAAAATATTTTTTTATCGACATTTGGTGCGTCCAAGAATCATATGGAGCTGTCAACTCATTTGGTAAAAACACTGTTTGGTAAAACTTTTAGTATGCATAACATTTCCCAAAAGGAAAATTGGTTGGCAGAAGACGAAAGTGGTGTCAAGAAACTATTTTAGTTCCATCTTCCTGGTTAAAAACAAGGAGTTTTAACATTAAGTCGGTGATCTTGGAAAGTTTTGTGCTTCTTGTATACGAATCCATACTTTGATCTGATGCATAATAAAATATATTATTCTGAACATGTCTATTCATTATAATGTTGTTGACTTTGTGATATTAGATTATTAACAATTATTAAATTCTAAAAATTAACCTAATTATATTTCATTTGTCATGTTTGCAGGATGTCGCGTGCAATGCACAACTCTTCAAAAGCCAAATGATCGTTATATTTATTGCTCATATTATTTTATTTTATGGTAATGTATTGTACACATGTACAGTTGAATGATACTATATCAAAATATAGTTTTCACGTTAATTGATTTGAAAATATATTTTTTAATAGTATCAAGTGTTGATTATACTATTGTTTCTTCATTGCCCATGTAATTTTTTTATTTATGTGAATAGGTGAATTGGAAAATATTCCATAAAAATAATTTGTTCTAAAAATTTAATAATTTTTTATTCATTTTAACGTTTTAGTCGTAACTATAAGTTGTCACTAAAAACATGTTTCAAATTTTAGTGGTAATTTTAATTGTCAATAAAATGTATAC